TTGAAATAACCTACTTATAAAAATTGAGCTCAAGAAATTAAATATTGATAAAAATATAAAATTGAAGTTAATAGTTTCATATTAAAAAATGAGTAAAATAAAATTTGAAAAAAAAAAAAAACTATTTTATTATATAGTTTTTATCATATAAAAGTACATAAAATAAGAGAGTATTTACACTCCCTCCCAAAATAGGAGAAAGTTTGTGGTATCCTTAAGATACAATAGACATAATATTTCAAAATAATGAAAAAACACTATATCAATTTTTTTTTACACTCATCAATCAAAATCATTTATCATATTCTATAAATAAATAAGTAATACAAAGAACAAATAACATATTAATTTATCTCCAAATTTAAGTCGAAAAATCATAGAAGTCCATGAAGCTTCTCAACGAAATTATCAATGTATGAGTTCTCAAAAGTCCTTTGCTTAATAAGAATTCCCTCCACTTATCATGGTTGGTCTTCACTTCCTTCCCCAATTTACTCTCTGCATCCATTACAGCCATCACCGCCTTGCACACATTCTCCCTCGTGAAAAACCCATCTTCTCCTTTCTGCACCTCCACTCCCACTCTCATATCTCCGCCCATCATTCTTGCATTGATAATCTGATCTCCGACGTGGGGTAGCAGCACCAATTGACATTCATTCACCATAGCTTCCAATAACGACCCTGACCCACAATGTGTCACGAAACATCCCACAGAAGGGTGTTTCAAGATCAGTTGTTGTTGCACCCACCCACCATGAACAAACCCTCTTCCTTTGACTCTGTCCTCGAATCCCCCCGGCAATGCAGACCCAACATCTTGGAATCCCATTGGCGGTTTCAAGGCGGCTAGGAATGGTAATCCGGTAAGTTCAAAACCCAACACCAGTTCTTGAAATTGTTCCTTTTTGAGAACACATTCGCTCCCAAATGCACAGTATATGACAGATTTGGCCCCGAAGCCGCTCAATAAAGTTTCCCATTTTTCGTCCAATGCCAGAGATGATCTTTCTGGGATTGACGGTCCGGAGAGAATCACCGGCCGTTTAAATTGGTTCTCGAGATAATCACAATAAGGCCCTTCAATCTCCTTACATGTTCTGACAGCAATAGCATCGCATTCGTTAAGGGAGATGGATTGGCGTTTCATGAATGAAACTCCACTGCCGAATTCACCAACATTGATGGCAGCCAGTACTCGGGCTTCGTTAGAATGTAGCTTGATCGTTGAAGAAGCAAAACTTTCCGGCAGCTGCATGAGATCCTCAGCCGTCAAACCCTTTTCCAGAAACTTCCTTTCTGGACTCAAAAGGTACCCAATAGTTGCAGGACTGATGACACAATAATGTACGGACTTGATACCAAGCTTTCGTGATAACTCTGGTAACCAGTGGCAGAAATCAAAGAAGACGAACTGGGGTTGGAGTTCACGAAGGGAAGCTTCAATGGTTGGTTCTGTGAGGTCCATGGCAGTCATGACGAGGGGATGCAGAGGAGGTGGGACGTCAGTCGTTGTCTCTGTGCCGGAAGGGAGGCCATCAACGTGAGGAACGGTGATCGGAATCAAGTTAATGAGGCCTGGGTGGAGATTGAAGGGTTCAAACTTTTGCTTGGTTTTGGCCGGTAAGAGAAACGAGATTTTGTGGCCTCTTTCTGCAAGTTTGTTGGCGAAGTTAAGATATGGGGTAATGTGGCCCATTGCAAACCATGGATACATGACAATGTGAAAGGTTGCCATGGTTATGAAAAATCCCTGCTCCGATTTCCGATTTCCTGTTCTCGTTTGCAAGGTGAAAATGCAATCAAGGCAGCTTTTAAATTATTTGGCAAACCTATTTTTACACAATCCCTTTTTAGGAAGCAGAAAGAGTTTGTATAATCCACACATTGGTTCGGTTTCGATGGAAGCTCCATGATCCATGGCTTATAGCTTATATTTAGCATTCTTTTTCTGATTCAAAGTGAAATCGGAAAATGAAATGTACGGCTTAAAAGACCTGCAACAAGAATACTTGTCATACCGCAATGAGTACATACACAGGACAAGAACAACTTCAGGCACAGAGACAAGAAAACACCAAAATAATCCATGAAAGGAGTAGAGATAAAAAAGACACAAATGGAATTGTACAAAAATATTAAGTTTTTGTATATTTATTTATATATAGACTTGTGTGTCTAGAGGACATCAGAGGAGACAAGGAGTAGAGATCAAAAAGACACAAATGGAATCGTACAAAAATATTAAGTTTCATATCGCTAGTAAAAATTAAATGCCACTGCAGCATTTTTTTTAAGAAATTTCAATCAACGATATCCATGATAGCAAAGAAATGTTACCTTGCCATAACCATCTATACTAGGATTCGGGATTCCTCCTCTTCTGAGTTGAAAATAAGGTGCTTCTAGTTCAAAGTCCGTAACCATCTGACTTGATAATCTTTGTAGTTTCAAGGTTACGTGTTGTAGAATTATAGAAACCTTCTGCAGTTGACTTGTCATGCATCCACCAGCAAGAATCGTCACATTAATCTACCAAAGCAAGAGGACAGAATGAACTAACTCCAGTTACTCTATTACAATACCTGCTACTGTTTGCTCATAACCAGCAAGGTGATGGTCATCTGATTGGCCTAGCTAATGCAAAGCAAGAATCAGAATTCACTGACATCAACAACTCCATCACAGCAACCTCATTTGGACGGCGGATCTTGAGTCCAGGTTCAAAAAACCCTGCTTGAGACAAGCACAAGACATGAACTTATCAACTAAAACCCAGAATATACCCACTAGAACTACGAGACAACAACCAAAAGACATCTCTTACCAGGGGAAAGCTTTCTCCCCCCATAAAGCTCTTTTGCTAAGGGGTTGGAGGCCCAATGATTGACACCCACCCGGTTTGTTGGTTGGAACCCAACTATTTTCCCTTCAGTTGACATAACAACCTAAATACCCAAAAATAAAGAAAAATAGTGAAGCAAGCTAATTAAAAACATAGATTTGACTTTGAGAAGCATTGTCATTTTTAATTATTATGGGTTTACATCTAACTGGTACCAAGCCACTGTAAGGTGCTTCTCCTGACAGTGATTTAAATTACCTGATAAGTTGCCACCTCCTGGAGAGTTGACTTTATGTCTGGATCAATTTTCTCCAGATCAGCAGAAATAGACTCCTCACCACTAGAGTTAGCATGGCAAAATTTTTTCAAGTAAGCTGGTATTTCCCCAATCCAGGCACCAATGCTTGCTTCTGTGATTATATCCCCACGCCAGCCAAAAGAATCCTTAATCTTCTGGACTACTGAGATACAAAATGTTTCCAACTATACAGATGAAGTCAATGTGTCAAGCTTAAAATTATGAGGTAATTTTAATCTTTAGAAAAGAATAATAATAAAGTAAAACCAAGCTGTGTCTAATACAGTCAAACAAGAACTATATGAATCAGCATATATGATTGAAACATCAAGATAACAGTAATAACTAGCATTCAGAGCTAAACATTCAGACAATAAAGCACTACCAAGCACTAATTTTGACAAGTTTGCAGTCTCTAACAATAGGGCAATGAAAAGAATCACTGTTAAGAATTTTAAAGAAAAAAAAATATAGATAAATGCACAGACACTATCCCTTGAGTCATGACAAGATATAATATTTACAAGAACACCTTCTTAAAGCACCTGATAAGATCACAGGTTTTTTACTACAAACTCAAAAAATGTTCTTTTAGAATACTATGTGAAAACTTGTATACCAGCTCCCTCTTATTCTTTAATCATGGGGGAATCACATCTAATTTTTATTTGAATTGGAAAAGGTTACATGCATGCACCAAGAGAGAAGCATAGTGTAGCCATTATTAAATAAGCAGACATATATTAACTCCAATGCATGATTACCTTCTCACTGTCTGAACGTTGATTAATCATAGAAACAATTTCTGAGGATGGCAGAGATCTATGTCCCCCTGGATACTTTACTCCTTTTTGAGGATGAGAAAAACAAAATTGACCAATCACACTGAAGGTAATTAGAAAAATTCCACTCACAAGTATAGCAGACAAGAATTTCAAGAAAGAACTCCCCTGTAAGAAATATAACTAATTAGCCCACAGAAAAGAACTTAACAAAGCTTACAACAAAACTAAAGTCAAATAAGCAAACAGGCAATCTGAAAATCCTCCAAAAGCCATACCACAAAAGAAGAATAATAAAACAAGGCAAAGTGTTGGACACTTGTAAACAAATTATAATTGGTGCTTGGTTATGATTTGCAATACACACTTTGTCTAGAAAGAATAGAAAACAAACAGAATCAAGATGCATTCAGTACCTTTGTATTGGACATGGTGGTTTGAGTTGCAAGCACGCCACATTGCAGTTGTTTATAAGGCAAAGAGTAAATATCTTCATAGTACATATCTAATATGTCAGCCAATCCAACCTACAAATTTAGAAGCATAAGTCAAATAAGAAAGCAGGTAAGAAAAAAAATAAAACATTGTAACAAGTTATAAATAAATCCAAGTTCCAACCTAACTGGAGACATCCTACCAAAGATGAACGTAAATGAAGAAAATCAAATGACCGACACAAAATGAAGAGAATGAAGGAGAGAATGAAGTACCATTTGGGAGTGGGTCAAAAGAACTTCCCACCAATCCTCAGAAGATTTCCTCCACCCTTCCAACTTCATATCTTCAAATCTACTAGCATCAATTTGTATCTGATAGGCAGGTATATACTCACTTGTCCAAGCACTAAACTTAGAACCACCAATCTTTTCCAACTTAGATTGCACTGATGGTGTCCACCCATACTCTTTTTGCCTCCCTTTACTAGGATTAAAATTCTCCTTTGTTGAATTAAAGCTTTCAAGAAGGCTCTTTGCATTTTTGACAATCTCATCCTCAAATAATTTATACAGTACAACTGAAGAATCCTTTGATACAATCCTTTTGTGCTTCCGAAACCACTGGAAGAAGTTACTTGAAGTTCTTCCCCACAAATCATCAAGGAATTGTCTTTCAGTGTTTTGCAGAGCACACATGCAAGCAACTTCTGCAAGTACAGAGATAACCCTTTCATCTGATGAGCGAAGCACAAAGGATGCAGGAACCTGCTGATACGATAAGAGAACTCAACCTATCAGTATCAAGTGTCACCTGCAGGACAGACATTTTTATGATATCACCAAAATGTGATGTAGACCACAAAATACAGAAGAATAAATAAGAAAAGGCAAGCGTCTAACCTCTCTTGGATTTTGTAGATCATCCATATTTCTTTCAACCCCAGGTATTAATAAAACCAATTCAAAATTCCAAAGCTTTTGCAAAACTACTTGCCTAAACGTCATGGCAAGTATGTTTCTTGATGATGACCCAGACAGAATGTCATCAGATATAGACATTCTGAGTTTATTAGCCTTTTCTTTAACTTTCCTAGCAGGCAAAAACTGTCAAGAAGATAACTCAGCATAACTATCCAGCACCAGATTTCAGAAACTACATTTACAAACAAGATTGCAGTTTAAACCTGAAAAAAAGGCAAAATTTACTCACCAATCGCGTTGAAGCGGTTGCATGCTTGTCAACTACACCTGGTAAAACAGTCGCAACTACCATCACAGGAACGCCGGAATCTACGTGCTCGCCGGCGGCTCTGCCACCATCAGCTGCAGCTGCCGTCAAAGCCTGCTCCAAGCCAACAGCCCCGACCAGGCTTAACCGAGCCAGGTCGTTCTCGTAGGTTCTAACACAAGGACGCGTCTTTTCATCAGATTCCGCCACAAATTTCAGGACTTCCTGCTCCGTAGACGGAGTAGATTTCGGAGAAGAGCAGGACACCATAGAGACACCATTTGAGGAGTTTCTCGGAGGGATTTCATACAGAAATTTGCACCTTTTGGGGATGAGAGACGGAAATTGAATCGGAAACGAAGGGGAAAGCAGAGGAAGTGACTGTGCCAGCGCCATTGCAATGGAGGATTCTGCCACTAAGGCTTTTCAAGGGTTTTGATTTAATCGGCATGCGAAAATATAAAAACTGAAAAAATTTATGCTGTTTTAAAAACGAAAACCAAATAATTACAAAATATGAGGTGATATCGTAAATTTGTAATGTTATAGTAATAATTTAAATATTTTTTAATTTTATATTTATATTTAATTTTATGTTTGGATTATAAATTTATAGTTTTAAATAATATTATAATTATATAATTATTTTTTATAAAGTAATAATAAATAAATAATTTTAATAATTTTAATTTTATTAAAC